AAAAAAGTTAATTCAATTCAATATAGAACCCAATTTATTTTACTATAGTTACATACATACAAGTACTGGGATATAGGTATTTTCATATACAAGGTCGGGCATATAAGTTTCGAAACTCATTTTCAATTTCGCGCCGGACGATTTGACAACGCTGTTGCTTGGTATGTTATGTGACGCAAGAAGACATGGATTAGCTGCGTTCAGTATTCGTTGAAAAGTAGCTTCTTTGCCCACTGTGTGACTTCAACTTCTTCCAGATGTGAAAACAGAACGTACGATGGAACAGAGAATGAATGTGAAATTTTCCGTTAAACTGCAGAAATCGCCAAGTGAAAAGTTAGAGATATTATGAACACTTTATGGTAAATCCCCAGGCCAAAAATGCCATGGATGTCAAAATCCAAGATCAAAATAATGTTAGTCTGCTTTCTCGACACCATGGGTCTCATCTACTTTGAATTTTCACCTGAAGGGATCGCTGTTACTCGGACATTCTATGTGGAGGAGTTTAAAATGTAATGGATGCCCTGAGGAGCAAAGGAGGAGAGTCGTGGCGTGATCACTCATTGATGCTTTACCATGACAAAGGGCCGGCATATTCTTCGCTTCGAGTGTCGCAGTTTTCAACAGGAAAAGGCATCTCCGCCATGGATGGTCCGCCGTACTCTCCTGACTTGGCTCTTCCCAGAACGTTAGGGTCGGTTGAGAGGAAAGCGTTTCTCGGATGTTCAGGACATTAAGTCATTTATGAACAAATTTTTGACAGACATTCTTGTTCAGGATTTTAAAAACTGTTTTGAACAATGGCCGAAGTGCTGAAAACACCGTAAAGAATTGAACGGCGATTAATTTGAAAAGTTCTAGGTTGCTAATATCTGAAGCTCTTAAATTAATTTTTAAAAACTAATCTCGAAACTTGTTTGCCTGACCTTGTATTTCCTGCTTCGTAATCTGCACGCCATTGGTGTATGTGACGGTTTCATTTAAAAACTAAAGACCTCTCGCCTGAGATAGAAATACCCACCAATCTCGAAGAACACGACATGGTATTGACTGCCAACTTCATCAGCTAAATTTTGATTGAATATATAAATTCTTTTTGTCTTTCTCCTATTTTATGTAAAGTATGAACTTTATCAAGTATATTTTCATCGAAGTCTTTCCATTAACAGTTCTTAACGGTCCCTGGTTAGCGAGTTAACACAGCAAAAAATTATCACTTTCTATAGCACATACCCATGAGTGGAGTAGAGTTAAAAATCCACATATTTTTAAACTCAGCACTGGATGAAAGTGAGCTGTCAGCTTCACGCTCCCGCCGCTTTACTCCCCAGTACCCATTAAACGAGGACCGGTGGCTAGCGGAGCCAGTCTAAATACAAGAGTGAAAAGTGAAACTACCCAACGCATTTACCCATTTTTAATGTCCTCGTAATTTGTCCTAATTCCCCCCCCCCCGGGTGGTCAAGAAAAAAAAATTCCGTGGTCTGTAGTGTGCAAGCGAACTATACCGACCGAGCGACCGCCGCTTGTCAGCGCAGTTAGTACCAACTTTAGCGGATAGAGGGTGTCGCGTGGTCAGCGCAACGAATCCCCACGGCAGTTAATCTCGGTTGGCAAAGTTAATTTAAATATTGTAAGAAGAGTAACAGAACTTCCTCGAGGTTTTCCACAGTGACTCCCACAGAAAAGCATGCACTATTCATGACGAAACCCGGAACAGTCAGTTAGTCTGACAATGTGCGACATCGCTCGACTGTGAATGGGAGATGTTGTGAAACTAGAGCTTGTGCTTTATCGTGAAGCGACGAAACAATGAGCGCCCGGCTCCTGCCGTCCAGCTGATGTGTGACGTGTTTCCCATATTGCGCCCTTTGACATGTTCTTTATGTTACTTCCAAAGACAAATCTGAATACATATCGCTGGGCGGCTCTCCCCCTATCCTGCAGCCTCCTCTGTTTCTGAGCCTGTACTTCATTCAGAATCGCCAGTTTGCTCACCCTCTCTACGCAAATACCGGAATAATATATAAAATAGGCTACGACGGTCCGATTTCAAGTGCCTAATAACATTAATGAAAATCTTCTCATAGTTATGCATACTCGTACTCATTTACACGCACACACAAACACAGATACGCAATGTAGTTCTTCCGTCTTATAAACAAAATATTCCAACACTGTTCATCCATGGTAATACGAGCACATTACATTCTGAAAGTATCTCATAAAATTTAATGTATATTATGACATTACAGAACAGAATTAATAAAAAAAACTCCGTGGCCTGTAGTCCGCAAGCGAACTATACCGACCGAGCGACCGCCGCTTGTCAGCGCAGTTAGTACCAACTTTAGCGAATATAGGATGTCGCGTGGTCACCGCAATGGGACCCCCACGGCCGTTAATCTCGGTTTTCTAGACCGGAGCCGCTGTTTCCTTGAAATAGCTCCTCATTTATCCTCACGAGGCTGAGTGGACCCCGTTCTAGACCCACTACTTCTCAGAAAATCTGACAGCGGGACCTCTAGATCTGTAGCCAGGAACTCTAGCCACCAGACCACAAGGGCGGTCAACTGAATTCATACATGCGAAAAATAATATAAAACCTAAAAGTTCGAGTATGTACGTGAGAAAAGAAATATAAAACTTTACACAAACGAATAATTTCATTTAACTTGAAGCGTAAAACTACAAGTAAATAAAGTGCGAACCATAATATTTTGCTATTTGTTGAGTGCTGAGGCCAGGATGAATATTTATGACGATTTGATGACTCGAGCTAGGGGATTCACTGTTCTAGGGTCGCTGACCAGGGTTTTGTACTTCTCGTGTGCCACATCTCTCAACAGGAGCGCATTAGGCGGGCGGGCAGGCGGGCCAGCGGCTGATGAACAAACACAGCCTGCCGCCCGCCACTATGTGTTCATCAAATACAGTCCGTCTCCCCAAATGTATCGCCAGTGCAAAACAAAATCGAACAGACTGCGCTGCAACACACATAATAACACATTCGAATAAATCTTCTTCCTCGCCTATCGCTGATTCGGTTCTCTGACCTGTTCTGCTTCAGAATCACGCACTCACTCACTCATGGAGCTGAACCCTTCTTGAGAAGCCGCCAATTCTGCAGCTACTCAAGAATTTCCCAGCATTTTATGGAACCCGAAGGTTCATTACCGTGTTCACAAGAGCCCTCCACTGGTCCCTATCATGAGCCAGATCAATCCAATCTATACCCTCCCCTCCTATCTAAGATCCATTTTAATATTGTCCACTCACCTACGTCTTGGTCTTCACAGGGGTCTCTTTCCTTCCTGCTTTCCCACGAATATCCTATGTGCATTTCTTCTCTCTCCCATTCAAGACTCAACTTACATAGGACAGTACAGACATCACGGGTTTACATTTTTGGTTCGAATGGGATCAGAACCCGTGAACCCGGCATTCGAGCCCTTCAACGCCCTTGCACTGCGCCGTTACGGTGATAGTGCAATACAGAAACCCTTAGTAGAATTCTGCTTATATAAGTAATGAAACAGTAAGTTATAAAATACTTTTTAATGAAACGAAATAAGTAATATTTGCAAGAAAGGAATCGACAAGTTGTAAAAGTCTGCTACATGACAAGTAGACAAGTAGAGCCCATCCAGTACGACGTATCTGTACAATGACAAGACTCAGCGCTAGACGACAGAGAAATAGTCACTGAACTACGAGCCAGCAGACGCACACAATGTCCTCTCCTCCACAGTGGGCTGACCGGCTCTGAGAACAACTTACTTCCTCTTGAATGGGACTTTAACCCCGAGGGTAAAAACGCCGGGGAGTGAAGCTGACCACCTCACCTCCATCTAGAGTCGAGGTTCACAATGTGTGGAGCTGCAACCCCAGTCCTCATATGTCTTTATGGCTGGTGCTTAATCAAGTATAGACAAATATTAATTTTACTTTTCAGTAAGTATAAATAGCGAGAGAGAGAGAGAGAGTTGAGAAACAAGAGAAAAGCATTTCTCAAGCACAAGGGTAAACATTTATACTCTTTAGTAATATGATATCCATACGCAGACCTACGTATCATAGATTAAGAACTTGCATAGAATTCTGGTCAAGCCAGCGATATGATACGGTAGACAAACACAGACACGGGATGATTGAGATAGGAGGACAGGTGCTGCAAGGGTGAGAACTTCAGCTGGATACATTTACACTCTCTGAAAGGAACAGATGTACCAACCAGTGAAGAACTTAAGGTCTAAAATATGGTTGAAAACATTGAAATGGAAACCTTCTATACAACAGGTGAAGACAGATAACCGAAGACGGTACGAAATGAGCGACCAATGAGAGAAAGACCAATTATTACTACATAAACCCAAATATAAATTTATCTGAAGATTAGCGTCATCGGTGATGTGACACAATTTATCGGGTTGGTCGTTACCAGAGTTTTGGAAGACACTGCTGCCTCTATTTTCAGCGCATGAGTAACTTTTCTACTGTGAAGATGGAGGCAGCAATTCCTCCGAAACGTTGGTAACGAACCAGTAGACTACGTGACGTCACAGTGGTGGCTATGAAGAATGCCGTCTTCTTGGATGTGGCGCCCTGTAGATCTTGTGTAAACCGACGTTTCGGAGGAACGTATCGCCTCCATCTTCAGGGTAGAAAAATCCGCCAGAGGAACCAGCGTGGGCAGGTGGCTGCAGTCTGCAGAGATACGTTCCTCCGAAACATCGGTTCACACATCCACATCGAAGACGGCATTCTTAACGGATAATCTTCATAGTCACCGTTGTAAGAATCTTAAATGTTTGAAATGGTGATTTTTGTTCACCCCTGCAGCTGCTGTAATCAATACGGTCCGCCCTCGATGCTTAAGTCTGTCACGTCTTAGAGCACTTCCTTGTTTTCAACGCTTTGTAAGACAGTATGTTATTTGGACATGTACCGTACGTGTGGAATGCAAACAAACTTGTGCAGGTGAGGATGTCTCCTACCTGGCTGTCTCAGGTGGGTGTGTGGATCTAGCGAAGTCTTCGACATTCCGCTGAGAGTGTTGGTTGCATAACCTGCAGGCAAAAGAGACAAGCCGATGTAAAACATAGGTTCAGTACTAGCAAAAAGATCTGTTTCTGCTGTCGGCGTGCAGGAATGTGTTGACCAGAATGTCATGGGGTTATAATATATCGATCCGCCCTACTTCACAAAACTGTAGATGCCCTCAGAGACACATAATGCATATACCCCGTAAGGAAAGAAAGTTGGGCCCACTCATCGCTTGGTAAAACAAATGCCCAATTTTCAGAGTTCAGAAAAAAATTTAGAATTTTTAGGGCATTTTTTTTCTGGTTTTTGCAAATGCAATCTGGTTATCGTTCCAACAGATCACGTTTTAACATCCAGTCTCGATTGTTCGCTCCTGCTATATGCTCAGTTAATCACATCACCAGAGTTGTGTGTAACCTAGTAGCACAGTAGACATATCGTGCTAAGAGACACTAGTCAGACTGGCTTCAAGCTTCACGAACATACAGGCCCGCATCTTCGCTAGGTTAGGTTAACATACACTTATTACACTGAAGACAGTCAATATTATACTCGAAACATCGAGACGCTGCTAATTCTGCGCCTTTTGAAAGACAATAAAGCGTTTCACACGGTACCGTCAGATTCCTGTTCTTAACCTCGAAACAGTGGGCACAAAGCTACCCCTGTATCAGGCCGTGGAGGCCCATAGGGTTGTGAGACGTCGAGGCTCCCATATTTTCTAGACAATCGGCTCACAGATGGCGGTGGGGTTGTCAGCACTATGCGCCGGCCGCCCTTTAACTTCAGGAAGATTCCTGGTACTCATTTCTGTTAGAGGCTGAGTCGAACCCAAAACCATAGTGCGCCTGGAAGGGTTAGGTAAATTAAAAAAATCAAATGATTTAATCTGGATTCGAACCCGAAACTTTCCCGCTTGTAGCATAGTGCCTCAACCAACTACTCTACCGCGTGCCCCCGCGACAGTGGGTGGGGGAGCATAATAATTTCGCGGGGAAAACGCTTTTAGTCTTTGGCAAATATGATGGCATTATTTGCGTGGTTCTTACACTGATACATGGGTAATGGCCCAATTTACTGCCACGCGTTTATTACTGACAGTTAAGAAAATAACTGAGCTGCGATTATTTGTCGATTTATGGCCTTCATGCAGGTCAATTGATTCCAAAATAAAAACAGATAAGCAGGTTTTGAGGTTGTCACAGCGGTGGTTATCAAGGGGTCTATCTTCTGGGATACAATTGTCTGCCACGTTCTTTCACGCTAGTTTTTTGCTTGGTTTATTTTTCAACCCTTAAGGTGGATTCGACATGTTCCTCTGAAACGTCGGTTGATTTTCAATGGGCTACACGGCATTATATCCCAGATGACAGAAATTCTTTAAAAACAGACCCTCCACTCATATGGTTACCATAATTTGAATACTGGTTAGAAGTACTTTTCAAATTGTGGATAAAATTTACGATATTGTATTGGCTTGATAGGCCTGTCGCAGAGCTACAGACAGTGAAAATCTGCTTCATTGACACTCTGGCCTCCACACATCGCACGCAGTCTACTACAGGACTGAAGTCGGGGCTCCGCGGTGTAAAGCCGATAGAGTTTTCCAAGCATGACTGTTATACTTAGTCAGCACATTTCACAAATTTATTAGTATGAATTTGATTTAGAAGGCGGAAAAACATAGCACACATACGAAATTTGAGCAATGCGATTACAAACGTCAGAAATCGTCTGGAGACTTTGTTTGTAGTGTTTTGTAAATTTGATGACGAATTTTTGGGTTCCAACAAAACTTCTTGGCTATCTGAGCGACTGTCAACTGATCCAGGAGGCTCCTGTAGCAAGGAGTGATAAGCAGTTCAGTATTTGATTTGTTTCATTCTAGTCCGTCACACTAACAAATACAAAGACAAAACGACCTCATCCAATGTGACTATTTAAGTTTTTACTACTTGAGAACTTAGCACCCTCACATGTTTCGGTCCGTATAGACCATCATCAGAGGGTACATCGATAACTATTTGGAAACTACTATCACAATGGGTGTTCTGAGTGCTAAAATACATACTCACACAACGCCTTCAATGCACAATATACACAAAATCCAACTTTTCCATAACCACAGCAGTTTTCCTGGTATATTAAAGTTTTTAGAACTTTGTTAAAATTTATAAACCAAGTAGGTTCGTGTCCCTTCTCCTATCGTTTTTCTTGATGGGGGCTGAACTTGTGCGGCCTGTCTATCTTGAGGAGATTCTTTGTATCGTCCTGTGTTTGTTGGTGGCGTGAAGGGACGCGAACCTCTATCCGTTAAAATTTGGCAATCAGCAAGTAATTCAGCAGGTTTTGGGTCACATGTATATTTACGCGTGTATACCGGGTGTGCTCAGCGGAGCAGAACCAAGCCAGAATGAAAACGTGATATAAAAACAAGCGCATGACGACGGCAGCAGCAGCAGCATCTAGTCGCGTCGCATCGCGGCGCCGGCCGTAATAGCAGGGTGCCACCACCCTTCAGGAAAGGAATCTCTTGTCATGACCTCGGTCGACTGGGCAAGCTAAACAGCGGATCGCGTTCAAGACGCCAAATTTGCGCCCAGAAGTGGGTCTGTGTTTACCAGTTACAGAGGGGAAGAGTAGATGACGTCAAGTTTAAAGTGCTCCAGTGAGACTAGGGGAAAACGTACAAAGCTTTTGTTTTTGTTATTAGCTTCAGGAAAAGGTTGTGAAGCGTGTTGCATAACCTGCGTGAACTCACGCTTCAATTTATTTCTCTTATTTTCTCTCTTTCCCTTTATTGCTATCTCTCAATCTCTTCACTCGACCCTCGACTACGGTACCCGGAAGGAAGTTAAGGAGGAAGGAAGGAAAAAGGAAGGAAGAAAGAGAACAAAGTGGAAAATGGACGGGTGCATAATAGTTTAGTACCTTCAAAGGATGAAGTAGGAAAGTGACGTTCAAAACATAAAAGAGCTTCATATATGCACGTAAAACTTCGCTGGTAAGTACAGGTTTGTCAGCCCTACGCGCCGGCCGCCATTTACCCCAAAATACATTCCAAGAAGATTTCTGGTACTCATCTCTGTTAGAGGCTGAGTCAACCTCAGGACCACAGTGCAGCTAGAAGGATTAGGTCAACTGAAAAAAAAAATCCACATCGTCGGCATTCGATCTCGCGATATTCCGGCTTGTAGCATAGTGCCTCAACCAACTATGCTACCGCGTGGCCCCCATGGCAAGGCAGTGCGAGTTAAAGAGTACCGAAAGCAGTCACAGAGGAGAAACGTTAATTATTATTTCATAACGATATAAGTACAACACTTAAGAACCAGAATTTTTCAACTCTGCTAATACCAACGCCCTCCACCTGGAAACGATCATGAGTTAGTTCCATCCAACTCCGATTCCAACAAATCCACTTACTTTTACATCCAGATTAATATTACTCTGCAATATCCTTCTGGGCCCTCTAAGTTGACCTTTCCCCCTCACCCCTCACACATACATATTCGGTATGCATTTCTACTTCTTCCCATCCTATTTACTTAACCTTTAACCTTATGTTTCACTACCCTAGTAACAGTGCGTTCACTCACTCACGGAGCTGAGCCCCCCTTGAGATGCCGACAATTGTGCAGCTGCTCAAGGAATTCCCGGAATTCTAGGGAACCAGAAGGTTCATTACCGTGTTCACAAGAGCCTTCCACTGGTCCCTATCCTCAGCCAGATCGGTCCGGTCCATACCAACCCATCCTGTCTCTCTAAGTTCCATTTTAATACTGACAAACCACTTATGTCTTGGTCTTCCTAGTGGCCCCTTTCTTTCTGGTTTTCCTACCAATATCTTATATACATTCCTCTTCTACAAATTCGTGCCACATGCCCTGCCCATCTCATCTTCCTTGACTTGATCATTCTAATTATACTTGAAAAACAGTACAAGTTACGAAGCTCCTCATTATGCAATTTTCTCCATGCTCCCGTCACTTCATCCCTCTTTGATCCAAATATTCTCAAACACCCTCAGTCTGTATTCCTCCCTTAATGTCAGAGACGAAGTTTCACACCCATACAGAACCACAGACAAAATTACGGTTAGTAACACTGGGCTACCCATATAAATCTGGAACTGTAGAATCGATTATTAAGTTATTTAAAATTATGGGAAGTAACATGAATTTTTATCTCTTTTTTTAAGTTCCGCATTTCTCTTGCCGACGGGAGGCGCTTTTGTCTACAATTTTTTTGTGGTTCACTTGTATATTTTTAAAAATTACAGGTACAACGGCACGATCTGCAAATTTCAGACTATGTTGGACTATATTGTAATTAAAAACATTACACATTATCACTGAATTATAGTCCTACATAGTTATTCCTTCTAACTTGTTGTTTGGTGTTTGTATGCGTTTACTCTGTCTGTGTTGTCCTGTCTTTATGTAGAGGCCTTACGACGAGCTGTTCACTCGTTTAAAGAGTCCTACCGGCTCTGTAAGAAAGATTACGAAACTGAATAAGAGGCCAGGGCCCGAATGGGCTAAAATAGCCACTGAACATGAAAAACTCTCCATATCGGTGGAACCTGGTACAAAAAAAAACTTCTCCCCAATTTTTCATTTCACAGCTATGTTACAACACGTTAAAACTGCCCAGAATGAAAATGTATAATATTCACCATAAGAAACAAATTAAGTTGAAGGCATAGCTGCATGACATCAAGGCCTTTATTTTGCCGTGTAGTTCGAAGAAGATTTGCAAGAAGGAACTACTTAAATCGGTTTTTACATTAGACCTCCACACAGAGTGGCGGTTATATAACAGCAATACGAACCTACACGGCTAATACAAAAGCTAATCTAAGTCAGTCCGGTAGTTTCGGAGCCGGAGGGTCAGACGTCACGACACGTTCCGTAAATGAGTTCACTTCGCGCACTTTGCGAAGTGTACCGACTTAGACAGGCCCACAGTGCATATAAGGATGTGATACTGTTGCAGTATCATTCACAGTTCCCTTCTAAGT